ACGGAGAGGAGTAGCCGCGATGTTCTCGGGTGTCAGTGCCCGCGGGCTCGTCCTGACCCTTTATCTAAAGCCTGAAAACTGGGCAGGCCCCCCCGCGGTGGGCTATGTTTATGTTTAGGGGTGTCATTTCTTGAGTAACGCCTTGGTCTGTAAAAACCACAGGGGGCGAGGATCCAGTCTAGCCGTGTCACAAGTTAGCTGTCCTTTCTGAGTCAAACCCAACAAAAAAAAGGCAAGAGGAAAATCAATAAAGTCCACGTGCTCCTGGGCCTCCTATGGAAAGGGCCGTCTGCAGATGGCTGGATGCCCGGCCGAGGGCTGGGTTTGGCTCCAATGGGACAAAGAATTTTCAGAACCATGAGAAGGGGAGGCTTTCCAAAGTTGAGATCCAAGTCCTGGGCGTTGTGGGAGCTCGCCTAGTGTGCAGGACACCCCCTGCCGGACCGGAGCCATTTAAAAATGGCAGAAACAGCTGCAGGCCAGAACACAGAGGCAAACAAGCCCACAGCCCCCTCTCCCGTGGGATTCCCAGGAGGGAGGCTGGAGTTGTCCCCTATCTTAGTGCCTGTGCCAAGAAAGAACTGGTGCCTGGGCCTGAGTCTCTTCTGCCACCGGCCTGGAGGTGAGGACGGGCCTGGCGGCAAGCTGCCTGTCTGTGCTCCAGGCGGTGCGGCAGGGCCTCCTGCCCCAGGTTCCCGCCGGGCAGAGGCCCCGGCACCCTGACAGCTGCTCCCGTGGGGCAGGCCTGCCAGCTGCTCTGCAGGGAGGGCAGATGGAGCTGTGAGGTTTTCCACCCCGCCGGCCCCAGAGCAGCCGGCCTGCTGTCCTTCCATGCCGCTGAGCGCACTGCAGTCCAGGCCTTGTTTGGGGGACGGGAGGAGAATTTATCTCCCTCTCTCCTTGTGTTTCGGGAGACATGTCATGTCCTCTCAAGACCTCAGGGCTGGGCTCCCACTTCACTTCCTGGCCTTGACCTTGGACAGACCATGGGAACTTCTCTAACCATGGCAGCAAGGGAGTCCTGTGCCACTTTCTCACCCTCTCCCCGGTCACATCTCCGACAGCACTTATCCCCATTCAAATGTCTTTATTGTCAGTGGACTCTGTAGAAACTTGTATTTTGCTTATATTTTTTTTTCCTCCGGCCTCTTCTAAGCAAGAAAGACTCGGCCTTATTTCTTGGGGTTCCCCAGCCCCGAGAAGCCAACTCTCACCTGCACTGTGCCTTTCAAACGGGTCTTCCGGTCAGTCCTCCAGACGTCGGGCTGTTTATTAACTGCGTGGCACCAACCACGCAGCTCACCGCTGGCTGGGATGCTGGGTTGCCAGATTTAGCAAATAAAATGACAAGACACCGAGTTAAATTTGAATTTCAGGTAAACAACGGAATTTATTTTATTTTATTTTTTTTTTTGTAGAGAATTTTTATAAGAGTTTATTTGAGCGAAATTGACAATATATGCCGGCGAGCAAGATCTCAAGTGCCCCGGAGAATAACAACGAAATAATTTTAAAACAAACAAAAAAATTTTTTTAGCCTAAGTAGGTCCCATGCGATATTTGGGACATACTTATACTAAAAAAATTATTCACTATTTATCCGAAATTCAAATTTAATTCGCAATCCTATATTTTCCCCAGAGGAGAATGGAGGTATCTGGCGTAACATTCAGCCCGGAAGCCTAGGGTGGTACTTCTCCCGGCCCCGGTGACCGGTGACAGTCCCCAGTCTGCCAGCCCCACCCTTCCCCTACCCCCGGATAAAGCCAGCAGCCAGTGTGGCCACCCTGTCCTAGCTGCCGGCTGCTCCTCCTCTCCCTCTGGTGTCCCAGCAGGGCAGGCCGGTGAGTACGAGACAGCCAGAATGTGGCTGAAGGAGGGACAGAACGGTGCGCCCCTCTTTGGGAAACTGGGCGAGGAGGCCCAGTGTGAGTGGAGAAGATCAGGGAGGGAGATTGGCTTGAGCTGAGAAGTAGGCTTAGGCCGGCGACCCCCGGGCCTTTGGTCTGAAGGGTCCCTCAGTGACTGTGGACACAGAAGACTTTCTGAGGACTTTCCACTTGTCCTTGAGGGAGGGACAGGCCTGTGCCTAGGGCGTCACCTCAGCTCCTCTGGCAGTGCCCACCTGCCAGGCACAGGGCGGGTCAAGCGGGCCTGGGCCTCGTTAGGGTAAGGCTAGCCAGTGGCCAGGCCTCCTGAGGCATCGAAGACCAGCCTTGGGATGTGAATACAGAGTGAAGGGTTTAGAGCTGTCTTCGAGGGAAACAGGTGACCCCAAGGTGGTCTCGCCCTTGGACCTGAGTGGACCTGGGAGAACATTGGAAATTGGCCTTGGCCTGGAAAATCTGGGATAGGTGCTTGTCATTTGCATAGGAGCCTGAGCCGAGGAGGAGCGTTTGAGGCTTGAGTCCTTCAACTGGGACCTCATTTAGTCCTTTCGTCCGGGAGTCCAAGTCTGATGGGGAAGAGAGGTACTTAAGGCTGGTTACCAGGGGCCATCAAGGCAGCAGGGCTTAGGGCGCGGCCAGGGGCAGCTTCACGGCAAGGCTGGGGTGCGGCCTGCTGATCGTGGTGAATCTGGGCCCAGTGCCTGCAGGTGGAGAGAGCTGGGTGACCTGGGGGAGCCACAGAGCCCGGTCTGGACAGTGCCGTTGCTCCTTGGAGGGGCCTGTGTGTCCCTTGTGGTCAGATTGAGTTTTTGCGAGTAGCCAGGAAACTGGATCTCTACGTTGTCTGACTTTTTCTTTTAAGTTTGGCAATCGATTCAAATTTTTAAAAGTACCACGCAGGCCGGATGAAACACACTTGTTCGCCTCCCTAGCTGCAAAATAATAACTCAGCTTAATGCCCTCGCTGGGGGTGGAGGCCGTGTGCCCTGCGTGCGCGATGAGTTGGGGGGCCGCAGTGGGAACTCAGCTGCTCCTCTGAGCCCCTGTGTGTTTCTCAAGCCACCAGCTTGATGAGACACCTAGGCTCACGTGCCACATCTGTGGGGCTTCCTCTCATCCTCCCTGGTGCTGGCTCAGTGGCTTGTACCTTAAGTTCGGGGCCCCATCGCTGCCTGGGTGGCTGCTGGCTGGATTGCAGGCCTGAGGGCGGGCTCTTTACACTCTCCCCTCTGTCCGGCAGCCCCTCAGTGTCCACACCTAGAACTGCAACTGAAGCACGGTGAGTTGGGCGCTCGGGCCAAGGGTCGCCAGCTGGGGCAAAGTGACAGCCTACCTGGCCGCGCTGAGCTCATCACCTGCAGGGCCCGTACCCTCCCTGGGAAGCACCTGCAAACATCCACCCTGGCTCAGGTGTGACACACACCCAGATCTGGTACACTTTCTGCCCTGAAAGGTGCCTTGCATATTGCAAGTCAATTCCTTTTTTTTTTTTTTTAAACACAATCAAACAGCGGATTTGTTGACCTACTAGGGCCCAGGCCAAGGAAGCCAGTCCAGGGCTTGTGTGTAGTAGGTGTCTTTGGTCACTTGCACGGGGTGCTAGCAACATGCACTTTTGTCCAGCTTCTGTGACCAATGTGGCCTGTGGGACGGAGTCTTCGTTCTCACGGATAACAGAATAGCAGGAGGTGGATGCCGGGGTCCGAGCCCGTGTCCAGTCCTGGTTCTGCCGTCACCTAAGCTGTGTGACCACGAACTAGCGGTATAACCTCTCTGGGCCTCCCATTTCCTCATCTATCAAGTGGGGTGATAGTAGTCCCCATTTCATGGGCCTGTTGGCCACCTCTGGGAGAGACGGCCTGTAAATAAACCGCTTGGCACGAAGCCTCGGCGCGCAACGGCTATTGTGATTGTTGCTTTGTCACTGGGACTGTTTCTTGGAACACCCCATCCCTTCCTGGCACCTTCTGATCGTTCAGAATAGAGGTGGGGAAAGACTGGGATCGTGGATTGTCCATTTTGCCTCCAGGAGGTAGGAGGTGGGTGGGAAGTGACTTAGATCTCTGCCTTTCCTTCCTCCTTTCTGGACTAAAAGGGGCAGGGATGAGGGCCCGAGAGGCTGCTCTAGACAGCACAGCGGCAAAGAGGGTTTGATGACTTGACCTCCCCGTGCCTCAGTTTCTTTGCCCGTCAAATAGGGAAGGTGACAGTCCCTGCCACGTGAGCTTGTGGGAAGATTAGAGCACGTGTGAACAGCGCTGAGCCCCTGGAACGCACTAGCATAATAAAGAAAACGAGGCCCACCGCCCTCCAGCAGGGAATGTGTGGGACCCGAGCAGGCACCGTTTTGGGGGACCCGAGACTGAGGTCTGGCCCGGGAGGCTGGAGAAGGTGCTAGACAGCTCACAGGGGTGCTCATGGCATGGGTGGTTCTTGGTTCTGGTGGAACCTCGTCACTAAAATTGCTGAGGGCTCCTGGCAGCTCTGCCGCCTGTACCAGGTGTGTGTCTGGCCTTGACATCCCATTGTCAGTCCCTTGAGTCAGCTAATTTCCTCACTGAGCAGTGGACAGATCCTCTGCGACCTCCCACTTTTCCCGAGATGGCAGAGCCTGATGTGAGGAGCACGGACCCCGGCGCCAAACCCGCCTGGCTTCGCGTCCCAGCTCTTCCCTCTGGCGGGTTCTCCCTGAGCCAAGGTGCCCTCCGGTGCTTGGCCTCTGGGCGTCACTCTCAGTGTCTGGGGCAGGAAGTGACATGACCTGTCTTATAGACTGCAGGGGGTCAAGGACAGAAGTTGGGGAAGCTGCACCAGTCATCTAGAGAATGACAGTGGCTTGGAGCAGAGTGGAGGGGAGGGGAGGGTGGTCATTGTCATCCTTAATGGAAGCCGGTCGCCTCTTTTCCTTCTTGTGGCTTGTGAGTTTTCTCCTCCTCGTCCATAAACCTGCCTACAGCAGCCAGGGGTCCTGGACGCTGTCCCTGGGGAGCTTAGGGTTTGGCCGGGCGAAGGGGCGGGCCAGACATGGGCCTTGAGAGCTGAGACCCTAAAACAGGTGCCCAAGGGGTGGGGCCTTGGAGTGTCCTTTCAGCTGCAGCCCACAGCTGGGGCTGGGCTTCCCTGTCACAGCCCCTCTGTATCAGCGTCTGGGGACCTCCTTGGGGCGAGGCCACCGGGCAGCCTTGCTCTCCTCAGCTGCACCCCCCTCAGCTGCGCCCGATGGCAGGGCACGCTGTGTGTCCACTTCCTCCCACTGACCCCAGACTCCCGTCGCACCCCCACCCCCAGGGAGGCCTGGCTGGCCCAAAGCCCTCTCTGCTGCCCTGTTCACTGGCGCCGTGGGGTGAAGGCTGGAGGATCCTGGGGCCTGGTTCCCTCCTCTGAGGATTTGTCACCATGGCAGCCCCTCTCCCTGAGCCTTGCCACACGTGTCTTCCCAGGCAGCTGGAGGACTTTAACTCACGCTGTCTCACGTGACCGTCACCACAGCCCAGAGGTCGACAGCCCTACGTGGTCTAACAGAGGGGACACTGAGCTCAGATGGGTGAAGTGACGTGTCCGGGGGCCCCAGCTAGCGAGTGGCAGAGCTGGGATTCGAACCTCGCCCGCGTGACCTGCAGCTCACACTCCTAATCCCAAGCAGCCACTGCATCACATCGTCCCCAAGGGAGTGCGGCCGGTGACCCCGCTGGGTAGGGAGGAAGGCCCTGCCCCCGAAGCCCCTAGTAAACAGGCTCTTCCTCCTCCTCCGTAGGGAGAAGAAGTGGGTGACCGTGGGTGACACATCCCTGCGAATCTACAAGTGGGTCCCTGTGACGGAGCCAAAGGTCGATGATGTAAGTATGAGGGGCCAGTCCCCTGGGATGGGGCTGTCCCTCCGTACTCCCTCCCATGAGGGTGAGAGGGGCTCTCAGCTGCCCATCATGGCAGGGGCCTAGGCTGAAGGCCACTTGGAAAGCAGAAGGACCTGACTTAGGGCTAGAGAGGCTGCTGGACCCGTCTCCACTCCACTTGCAGTCCAGCCCCAGTTTGGCCCTCGGAGAGGTGGGGAGTCATCTCTTCGGGGCTGAGAGCCCCACCGTTTGTGCTTGGTCTTAAGGAAGGATCGGTGGCAGCCCCCACGGCGGTTTTTCCGTGTCACGGCTCCCAGGCCACTCATTCCCAAAGACCCCAGGTCAGTTACTCCGACTTCCAGTCACAGCGCGGAGCGGCCCAGCTCCAGGCCTTCGCTTGGGCTGCCCCCGGCCTGGGGCGCCTTCCCTGGTCCTGCGAACACTTCTCTCCTCCAGGAAGGTGGCTCGCACTAAGCCACACAGCTCCATTCGCTCCTGCGGGTGACGTGGGGGTCATGATGGGTAGGTCTCTAAGGGACCAGGAAGGCGAGGCCGAGCCGCCCTCCAGCAGGCCGAGGCTCCGTTCTTGACCCTGTGCCGGCGTGCTCGCCCCGAGAACGCGGGCGCCGGGTACCGGCTGTTCCGGAGGCAGAGCTGAGCGTGGCCGGGCTCCTCGAGGGCTCCCCCGTCTGCGCCTTGCACGTCGTCAGGTGTCTCATCAACGCCGCGGCATGAGAGAAGACGTGGTCCCTGCTCTCAAGGAATTTATAACCTCGTTGGGGGGAAGATAATTATAGAACCGCATGGAACAGACACGAGGGAAGTGCCAGCTGGATGATGATCAAGGAGAGAATGTCATACAGGGGGCGGTCGGGAGGGACAGGGCGGCTCCCGGCTGGGCGGGAAGCACGAGGTCAGGGGTCGGACAGGCCACCGGGAGGAGCTGGTGATGTTGGACAGGTGGGCCCTGGTCCCCTCCCCGTGCAGTGAAGCATCAGGGTCCTGGTGTTTTGGCCACAGAGCAACAGCGACGTGTCCCATGGACGGGCCTTAGCCCAGCATGGCTGCAGAGACAGTGCCCGGGAAACGCCAGTTCGCTGGCACCACTGAGCCTCTCCCCCTGTGGTGACGGTGACGGGTCTCACACCTGGCTGAGCATCTGATCCCCCGGGAATCTTGAAGAAATGCAGGTCCCTGGGCCCCGCCCCGGACAGCTGAATGCGAATCTCTGAGAGTTGTGGCTGGGAATCTGCATTGCGGGGGGTTCGGGGGTGGGGGAGCATTTCACTTTTTTTTTTTAAACACCCAATTACCACATGGTTCCACCATTTTTTTTTTCTTCAGAACTCTTGAAAATTTCGTCCTTTCGAAGAGGTAAAAACGAAACTCAAACATCACTTAAAATTTTTTTGTTTTTTTAATGGGGTGATTCACCTGCTGTAACACTCACTCTGGTAACACGCGCAGGTCAGCGTCCGTGTACTCACAGAGTCGGGCAGCTGTCACCGCTGTGATTTCATGGCCCCGAAAAGAAAACTTAGCGGTCGCTCCCCCCAACCCAAGATCCCAGAAACCACCCATCTGCCCTCTGCCTTTCTAGGTTTGAAACGTTAACTTTTTGTTTTTGACATTGCGCCTTTTTATAAACCTGCTTCCCGTCACTGTGCCCTCCCCCCTCCCCCACTCAGCTCCTTCCCTTGAAGGCAGCCGGATCCTTCCACGGAGAGAGCAGGTGCCTGCGGACACGCCAGCACCCGTTCCCTGTCCTCTCCCTCACCCCGAGTGGCGGCATTTCATTTCCCACCTTTTTCTACATCCTGGGGGTGTCGAGACGTGTTTAACGTGGACGTTTTGGTAGATCGTTCCCCGCTATTAAACGAAGAGCCGCCTCGTTCTCTAATTCTTACGTCGCATTACATCGAACGAACGAACAGTAATCTGTCGGACACAGGTTGTTTCTAAGACAGTTCTCTTCCAGTTGTAAAAACTGGAACCGTATGCCACCAGCGTCCCCTCCCCCAGCCCCCTCCTCTGGCCTCCCTCTGTGATGGGAGCAGGGCAGCCCCGGGGCCTAACCCATTTGGGAATGTGTGAAGTCTGTTTTTCCGTGGCTGACCTGCCACCGCTGAACCGGTGACCATGGCCTTCCAGCCCCAGCCGCCTCCCTCCGCTGGGCTCCTCGATGAGGCCTCTGATGGGGCGAGTTGACATGCAGGCCAGGGAGAGCCCTCTGGGAACGTGGGGGCCCCAAGACGGGTCAGTAGAATAAAACCTTCACGCCACCCCCCAGGCTCTCGCCCCCGCGTGCAGGTGACTCGGTCTCTGCTCCGCTTTCTCCTCCAGAAAAACAAGAACAAGAAGAAGAGCAAGGATGAGAAGTGTGGCTCGGAGGTGACCACGCCAGAGAACAGCTCCTCCCCGGGGATGATGGACATGCACGGTGAGCCACCCCGTTGGCCGCAGGGCCCTCCCCGGCCAGGCCCCTGCGCCGAGGCGCGGCACCCACTTGTGTATTGTCTTAGCAGCAGGTCTGTTCACATTCCAGGCAAGGGGTGGTGGGGCTGGGCAGGACCGGGTGCCGCTGTGCCAGGGAGAAGCCTCCGTGAAGGAGAAGAACCTTCCTTGCCCAGGCCAGCAAGCCCCGAAACATAACGCGACACCCGCTTCGCGCCCAGCGACGGAAATCCCTCAGAGATGCCCCGACATACCCTATAAACGGCTGTATGTCCCACTTTCACATTTTGCCTTGGCCGCTGGGAAGCTCCAACCTGGATTTCTGACCACGTGTTCATCTTTCTGGGACCCGCCTGCCACGTCGACAGCCCGACTTCCTTTGCCATCTTATTTCAGAAGTCGCCACCGGTCAAACCCAGGCTGGAGACGCGCCTCAGCCAGCCTGCACTTGTCTTGACATTGCTGGTGTTTATTTTCCTTTTAACCTTTTTTTTTTTATCTGAGAGGAAAGGCACAGACGCTAAACGTATGACTCCGTGCAATGTTCACACACCACACAAACCCATGTAACCAGCCCAGGTCAAGACAGACCCCGGTAATCCCCCTGGTGTCCCCTCCTGGTTGTCTCCACCCTCCAAGGAAAACCCCCAGCTGACTTCTGACCTTAGAGAGTCACACGCGAAGTTTCTAAAACATCAACTTTCTGATATTGACAAGTCAGGAAATGTGCATTTCTGCCATCCTGGGAAGAAATCAGATTCAGCAACCCCGGACGTGCACTGCCGCTCCAGGCCACAGCGGGAGCACTGTCCCTTGGAGTGGGGGGTGGGAGTGGCTTCCCCAGGCCTACCTGGCTCACCTTGTTCTGTCACCTGCCCGGCCTGCTGATATAAGAGCTCACAGCACTTGCCTTTCTCCATCTCTCGATCCCAAGGTCAGCGTCTTTGTATTTTTGACCACTCTGAGCCTTTTGCACAACGTGGTGGTATTAGATAAGTAAGGACTTCACAAAGGAATCTGAGTTTGTTGGCGTTTCTAACCCTCCAGACCCAGGGCTGCCTCGTTCTGGGGAAGGAAGGCCAGCGAACCTCCCCCTCCGCCCAACCTGGCTCATCCGGAAAACGAAAGAGTCTGGTTTTGCAGACAGTTAGTGTGTCAAGAAAGCCCCCGGCCCACTGGCCATACGATTATCGATTATCGTCAGGATGCAGTTTGTCTTCAGAAGTAGGTGTTAGGGCCGGGCTGTAACCTCTCTCCCTGGCGTTGGCCAGCTCCCCTGCTCTCTAGGGGTTAAGAAGACTCCAGGCCTGGCTCACGGTTTTGAGTGAATCACAGAATTACAGGTGAGGGCCTTTTAGAACAGAAATCCCACCTGGGTTTAAAACCGGCTCTCCTGGGACCTTCCCCTCACCCCCCTCTCCTGCCCCCCCACCTGCAGAGTCCTGGTCTAGTAATTTAACACACAGCCTTTGAGTTTGTCTGTATTTAATCTGTCAAATGGGTATAGTAATGCCTGCTTCATAAGGTCAGCGTGAGTATTAAACGAGATGATTTTTTAAAGCCTTGGCACATTAGTAGCCGTCACAAGGCGCCAGGCGTCTTGCTAAGTGGACCCCGATTTCACGCGTTGCCTCTTTCATCCAAAGAATAATCCCCATTGTCCAGATGAAGAAGGCGAGGCCCAGAGTCAGGACGTGTACAAATGCCGGGGCCTTTGCAGGCCCCTGGGAAAATCTCGACTCGACACTGCAGAAGAAGATCTAGAACGCTGAGCACGCCAGGCTCCGTGCGCCGCTTCCCAGTGTCATTTCCATTTTAGTTCCTGTGCAGCCCAGACCCAGTCCGACCCCAGAGCATGTCAGTGTGAAGCTTCCGGGCAGGACGTGGGCCCGGGGTGGGGGTAGGATGGGGTAGGAGGAGGTTAAGGGAGGGCATCGGCAGCCAGCTCTCTAGTCTCCAGACTCGGCCGAGGTTGGCCCCTGGACCAGGGTCACGCTGTGAGCAGGCCACCAGGCCAGGCCCGGGCAGCTTACTTGCTAAATGTTAATGTTTATTGTCACTCGTTAACACAGCCTCATGCTGGGACCCGTGGGTCTAGCCTCTCTGCCTTCCGTGCTTCCTGACACACACGCACACGTATCTTGGTGTACGTAGGAAGGAAGTTTAGATTTTCTCAAAAGGTAAATCAGGAGAGCGTATATCTGATTTTTTTTCCCCCAAGTCCCAGAATTCACAAGAGGATGCTTTGTGTAACTAGCCCCCAGAGTACACTTAAAATAAGATGCAATTTACCCAGTTGGGGCTGCGTGACTGCCTGGCGCTTCCTTGGCAGGGTGAGGTAGAAGCAAGACGGGGTTGGGAGTTGGAGGGACCACCCTGAGCAAGGGGGCTCTGCCGCTCTGAGCCTCAGTTTCCCCCTCGGTGACAGCACCGACCTGGTACATTGTTGAGAGGGTTAGACAAAGTGACTAAACACTCGTGCCCGGTGCCTGATACATAGTAGGTGCCCAGGCCATATTGATCTGCCTCTCCCCTCCCCCGGCC